AGGGACAAAAAAAATTTTTTCTAAAAAAAAAAAAGCGCGTTTTTAAAAAAAAAAAAAAAAAAAAAAAAAAAAAAAAAACACAAACGTCACCACACTTGCTTATTCCTTTACACGGGATTTGTAGTTTTTTCTCCGTTTGCATTTAAGTACGAACAAATAGTGCTCACTGCAATAAGGAACTACATTACCCATAAGGAAACAGTGCAAAAAGCTTAAGATTTAGGCCAGCGATAACAAAAAGGATTTGCAAGGAATCAAAATATGAAGTCCACTTGTTAGTTTATGAATCTTACTAAGGACATGTGGTATAATAAATGTGTTCTGCATTTAATTCTACGTTTTCATGGAAATAGGTAAATGGCTTACCTTTGTGCGAGGCACTTTTAAGTTCGACTGGTTCACAGTTCGTTACCCACTGATGTTGCCATGGCCGCGAAAAGACGCTGACTGATGAATGAATGCATGTGCTGTGGGCGGAATCGGGACAAATACAGCTCGTAAACTGACCGGGGCTAGTTGTCACACGGGTTATATCTATCTATAACGATAAGGTAACTTTAAGGTTTTGAGTATTTTCAACTTTGTTGTTTATGTAATGATGTGCTGGGTGTAATGACATGTTTGTGTTATTTTGTCTCTGTAACAAGAAATTATTTTGTTGTACTTATGCTGCCTAGGGAGGGATGTTCGCGACTTAGGGGGTTGTTATAACAATTATAGAAAGAGGGAAAATGTATTGTTCAACTCGTTACTGTATATTGTTTTAATCCTTCAATAAAAAAAATTTGGTAAGGTTTTCATTCTAAATTTAAATAGAATTTTTCTATGGTTAATTACATAAATGTTGTTGTTATGTTATTGTCTTTGTAGCCAAGACTATACAGAAAGTATCGATAAATATTCACTGCAATAAAAAATGTGACAACCAGCCCCAGTTTCCTCTGACATACAGGTGCATCTCAATAAATTAGAATGTCGTGGAAAAGTTCATTTATTTCAGTAATTCAACTCAAATTGTGCCAGTTCAAAGAATGAACAATTCATGAGGATGAAAGAGGCTATTGCAAAGTTTTTATACTGTTTAGTGGTCTGCATCTTTGGCCGTTATCATTAGACAGAAACATACTTTGTTTTCTGTTTGTATTAAGTCTTTCTTTACTTTAGAATACAGTTCGAACCTAAATAAAATCCACTCAGTCCGCAGTAGCAGAAGGACGGCAGTATATTAACCAGTGAAAATACTCAGAGCTCAAAAAATAAGGGCATGAACATCATGGCATGCTCGGAGAGATGCTGATCTATAATAATCAGATTGAAGTGTCATGGCCTGTATAAACATGACAGTACCACAAAATGGCCATGCGATGGCGCTGTATACAGAATCAGAATCAGAATGAGCTTTATTGCAAGGTATGTTTTCACATACGAGGAATTTGTTTTCATGACAGAAGCTTCCGCAGTGCAACAGAATGACAGTGACAGAACAAAAACACAGACAATAAAAGAAGAATACAAAAATAAAAAATAGAACAAGTAAATAAGGAATAACAATATATAAATTGACAATTGTATGTGCAGGTATATTACAATAGACAGTTTTGTATGTACAGGTATATTATGTGCAAATTTGAGGTGTAGACTAAGTATGTGTGTTAGATAAATAAGTGTATGAGTGTATAATTAGTGTTGTGTGTTCCACAGTTATTGTCAAGTGTTCATGAGATGGATTGCCAGAGGGAAGAAACTGTTCTGGCCGTTCTGGTGCTCAGAGCTCTGTAGCGTCGACCAGATGGCAATATATACCGCTGTAATATATGCAGTTTAACCACATGAACAAGAGGTGGCTCAGATTAATCGAGATTTTCATCTGATATACATTCATGTGTTCTTTTTAAGCCTCTGTGTTTACCAAGGAAAACAAGGCGGCCTCGAAACCGGCTCTCTGGTTAGTGTACTGGAACCATACTGCCCAAACAAAAAAACTGATCAATATAATAAAATGATGCTGATAACTTTGAAAAGAAAATCAATATAGACATATAAAGATAATTGAGCTTGAAATCAAATTGTCTTGAGTCATAAAAATAGCTTTAAATGAGTAATTTATGATTGTACATGAAGTGCTTCAGTTGATGTAATTACCCTAAATAATTGACCTGTGATCTTTGACATGGACAAGAGTAGACATTACAAAACAGTATTAGAAAAGCTGAGTTAAATACAAAAATTACTTATCTAATAGTTAATAAAAACTTATTTTAGATCAATTCACTTACATTAAATTCAATCCAATTTTCAGGATTAATTTAATGCTATTAAAAAAAGTGAGATACTATAATCTTTATTTAAAAAAAAGAAGTTTATTAATGTCAGAAGCATACCAGAACAAAACAATTACTTTTTTTTAATCATTTCTGCAATTACAGTTGTATTCAAAATACAGTAAAATAACTTTGATACATCGATTTACTAATGATGATAATATTTGATCTGGAAAAAGAGTAAACAAACCAAAGTACATTAAGATATGAACTACAACCTCACATGAAACTAGGTTGTATGCTGCGCACGTCTAAAACTCCACTGAACCCAAGACAATTTTACAACCCCCTCCCTTTTTTTTTTTAAACTGTACCGGGCAAGGATAGTGGTGTTGGAACCATTTTTAAGAAATTAAACTAAGAACTAAATTAAGGGTTGGAGCATTCGGATGAACACAGATGACACCTCTGTAGTGTTAACTATACAAAAAAGGAAAAAAAGAAACTGTACAGCTTTAAAACATATCATATACACAGCCTTATTTAAATGTTTTTTTTTTTTTTTGCTTTTCAGGGTTGTTTTTATTTGATTTATTTTACCCATTTTATGGCCTCAGTAAAATGTACAAGGGGGTTAAATGCTTTATAGACAACCAGCTAAGCTCTAAACGTTATTTATCTACTCGTCGTCATCCTCTTCCTCATCGTCATCCTCCTCATCTTCGTCGTCGTCGTCATCATCATCGTTAACCTTGTCTGGCTTAGAAGGGGCTTTGGCTGCACCTCCTCCCACTTTGCCTTTAGAGCGATAGGCAGCGACGTCCTAAAAGGAAATGAGATTTATTTTTTTTAAGCAAGGAATTTTCTTATAAAAATTCAGATCATTTATCAATTGCTATTTTGGTTGATTAGTCGTGGCATCCTTTCTCACCTTCTCGTACTTCTCCTTCAGCTTGGCTGCCTTCTTCTCAAATGGCTGCTTCTCCTCAGCTGGTGTTTTGTTCCACATCTCACCCAATTTCTTGGCCACATCTCCAATAGACAGACCAGGGGTCTCTTCTTTCACCTTGGGTCGGAACTCGGAGCAGAAAATGAAGAAGGCAGACCTGTGGTGGAACAGAGGATTTTTAAAAAAAATCATAAACTTTACATCCTTCACAAATGCTGAAGCATCTTCATGAACAAGTAAGATGCTTACGGGGGTCTCTTGGGAGCATTGGGGTCCTTAAACCTCTTTTTCTTCTCGCCTTTGGGTGGAATGTAGTTCTTCATCTCCCTCTCGTAACGGACCTTGTCTTGTTTGGCCATATCTTCAAACTTCCCTTTTTCCTTAGCTGACATAGTCTGAGGAAGGGAAGAAAAAAAATCATTGTTGGGAAAAGAGGGAAAGGTCATTAACACAATGTAAACGAAAGGTGTGACTGACCTTCCATCGCTCTGAGCACTTTTTGGAAAACTCCGAGAAGTTGACCGAGGCCTCGGGGTGTTTCTTCTTATGCTCCTCTCGGCAGGTCTGGACAAAGTATGCGTAAGAGGACATTTTGCCTCTTGGTTTTGTTGGATCCTTCCCCATCTTTGCCTAAATATCCTGAAATTGAATAAGAAAATCCATAATTTAATTAAGTATTAAATTCTACTTGCCAAATATCCTATTTAAATTAGTTTCTTATACTATTTAGAATTAGCTCGACTAACAATTTTTTTTCTTTTGGCATTATAACAAACACCAACGCTATCTTTTTTAACTAATTATTTACTCTAATATTAGTATTTGCGAGGCGCGCATTTGCGCGTAGTTTTTCTTTGCGACGAATTTGACGTTTTATTATGTAAACATGACACGACAAATTACTTTCCATAATAGTGCTTTTTAAAATAAAACGTCTAGCATTCACTTATGAAACATAAAAAAGTTGTTTTTAATACTTAAAACTTTCCAAAACCGTATTTTTTCAAAGTTAAAAATGGTTAAAAATGTAAAAATAAGTTGGTCAATTAAAGTTCTTTTATGTGCCAAAGTACGCGCGACATCGAAAAACTCGTTACATTTCTTAATAATCGAGTTCACTTTCGCCGTGTTCTCCGTTAAAAAGAGCCCGTTTCTCTCTATGTAAGTTACCGTTCAAATAGCAATGGCGCACACTCTTGTCTCGCTGAAGGAAAGGAGGTCAACAACGACGGCAATATTTCTTCTTCCATTTTGTGAGAAAGCCTTCTTAGTGAAAGAAAGTCCCCCTAAAATGTCTCCACCCGCCTTCCTGCTCGTTTTTGGACACGACAAACAAACGGCGCGGGTCGGTTTCCTGACCGAAAATTGTTTCCTTCGCAAAAAGCCCAGTGCATTCGCCTGGTGTATAGTAATACATTGAGTCTGTGCTGTGCAGAGTTTGCTGTGGGCTCGCAATGGCCGCTTGTCTTCATGCACTAACACTGAGAATATGGCTCCTTCTCTTTGTGTCAGCGCTCAGCCATTACACTGCTTTGCAATAAGGGGGAGCCGCGCGACCGCATTACCTACCTCACTTCAACTCTCAAATTAACACCCTTCTCACGCACGGAAAAATATTAAAATACTTGGGTTGGAACGACGAAAGATTGAATTTTTATTTTCCGCCTCGAAAAACGCGTACTTTGAGCTCGGCGGGGTAGAAAACACGATTTGAAAAAGTTGAAGCGAACTGCGCCTGTCTATGGCTCTGTGGCTTTGCCTTGTTTCCTATGAGTACAGTCAGCCATTACAGTAAAGCGCAGCTCCTGAGGTAATTTGTTTTCGCCCGTATCTCTGTCATTTCAATATCCCTGAGCGTATAAATCCATACACATAACAATGATGTTGTGCTTTAATTTTTTCGTTAGTCTGTTTTTTTTCTTTCTTATCATTTCTCATAGTTCTTCTGACAGACATCCCTTGTAAAGCGCTGCAATGGCTGCTTGCTGGCACTATCACCGTCCATAGACCTTGTTTGTATGCAATTCTGTCACCTAGTTGTCCGCTTAACGTTACATTTCGAATAGGCTGTATCAATTTATTTTTTCACATTTTCAGTATTTCAACCCCTCGAATAAAACCTACTATTTTCTGTGTAATTTTAAGGCGTAACGTTACATCAAGACAAATGAAATTAAAAAGCTAAGGTTATTCTCATTTTCATTCTGAGGGGATAACGTTAATACCCTCATTTTGAACATTTCACAAAAATCCCCCCGCAAATAAAATAGCTCTTTTACAAGCTAAATTTCAATACCGTATGGTTTCCTGGCCTTTTCTCGCAATTTTTGTACTTACCCCACACTTTGAAATGTCTACAAGCTGACACTTACCGCTGTCTTGTCTGGATAGTGAATGTACTGCAATGGCTGTATGTGGATGTAATAGCTCTACGCAGTAGTCTGCTCTCTCAACCCTCTAGCATTACTCTCAATAGGGCTTCCATTCCATTGGCTGCCGCCACGGCGAACACTCCTCCGATTGGCTGAGCGCTTTCCATTGTCCTAATAACAGCCGGCCTACGATTGGCTGCCTTTTGTGAAACGTCACGAGTGTTTTAAATGGCGGGTTAATACAAAATACTGAATGTATGTGTGTGTTTCTTGTCTCAGCTTAAAGCAAAGGCTGTGTGTACTGTGTTGGCTGTAGTAGTACTGTGTTCTATGTGTTCCACGCGGAGTGCTGAATGAATGAGTGAGTCCATGTGGAGTGTTGGCGTTGCTGTGAGGTGCAAAACGCTGAATGCAAGAGTGCTGTGTCCGACTGACGCCCCTCACAACAAATACTATATGAACATCCCAGTCAGATTTTAACGAAAATATGCAATTATAAGTCATATTTATTAAAGTGTTTTAATCGGTGAGATTCGTTTTTGAGTATCAAATGTTGATTCATTACAAAGTTTCGAGATGATTCAATATGACACAACGTCAAAGGTGTTTTTCTACAAGCTGTTAGTTAGTCCTTGATTTGAATAATTAAAAGGCAGGACCCCAAGACAACGGTAAAGGTTTTTGTATTCTAGGTGTTAAATTAACACTCAAAACATTAATCTCGATATCATAGCATTTAGATTAGTCCGACCACTGATAGATTTACTTAAATTTCATAATTACAAAAGTAATTTTAGCAGATAAAATAGAGATAGTATGAAGTGGAATTAAAGAAGAATCATTGTGAGGGTGCACAATGATTCTTATTATTTTGCTCTTGATATTTTTTCAAAATATCTATCTATCTATCATATGAATAAAAACGCCACAACATTGATGGTTATTGTTGCTCTGAAAAAAAGGCAGCAATATCTTAACATATGCATTTCTATTTAGGCCATAATTAGAAACCAAATTATTTTCATACATAAACACACGCAAAAGCCGGAGCCTATGCATGTTAATGGCTAAATCTTTGGGAAATTATGCAAATTCGTATTGTGTGGGACGGGGGGCTGCAGATAAACCGCCGAGGTAGCCTGATGGGAAATTGATGCCCATATAGCCTTCTATTGTTTCATAAGAGAGCAGCTGTAGCTCCCGCGCGAGCACATGCTCACAGACGCACTGGCATATGCTGCACTGAGCACACAGGCGCTCTTACTGACACTTGCGTACTTAAAAAGGTATTATTGAGATTTCTATGACAGAAACATAGAAATCTAATGACTCCTGGTCAGTTTTATTTAATCGACGTGAGAATAAAAATATTACCATACATGTAGTATTTTAATAAAATAAAATAAAAAGAGTTAATTTATCAAATATTTCATAGGTATTATCCAGGATATGGAAGCACTAACAGATCCATATAAGCTATTTTTGATAAATGTGGATTCGGTAACACCTCAGTTTAGGATTGGACACGTTTACTTTTTCTTATTCTGCCTCGTTTTGACTATAAATTGAACACAACAACATATGCCGTATGATCAGATATCCATATGATCTTACTTTGTTTTGAAAGTTCATCTACTTTATTTCAAATATGAACACTGAACTGCTAAAGCTTTTTTTATTATTATTCATTCATACATTTTCCTATCTGTATTTTTCTATATTAGTCCACTGTATTATGCATTATGCAATAGAGAGAGACTGGGTAGCAATATATTAAATTATTAAATTAATTTTTAAATCTAAATCGAGTTTTTTTTTTAAACCATGTGTATACACATTTAGAATTCTAAATAATTTCTATCTCATCTAACGGGTTTCTGCCTATTTGCGTGTTTCTACTGTTAATTATAGTTTAGACTTGAGTGTTTTGACGTTGATTCAATATCTGCTGCTGCCACATTTAATTTCAGACAGAATGTTCAGTCGTTCGGCAAGACACGCAGACGCTCCGGATGATGGCGCTCTTGTGCTGTAAATTAATCTTTGTAAAAACTTTATTACTCGTTCCAACAAAACCGGAAGTAGTACGTTGAGCGTACGACGGAGAGCATGCACATGGAAATGTCTCCTACCGGCGTGCTGGAATTACCTGATGCGTGTGTAAAATACAGTTTGGAATTTCTCCACATTCGGTCCGGTTTCGAGGTACGTGTTGGTGCAGCTGATGTGCACCTGGGAAATCGGTCGTGAATGCAATCTTTAAGGTTTTGGGCGATCTGCTTGTCTTCTAGTCCGCTTACTGTTGCTGTGGTTGTTCGCGCCTGATATAGTGGTCAACAAAGAAATATCTAAAGGTTGCTTTATAATATGTGTTTTTTTTTTTTACATAACGGGTCACTTTTAGCAGTTATCGAGAGCGTCTTGTATATTTAACATTATAGCTACGATTATCCAAAACTCTGTTGTCAGTAAGAAAACAGCAAAACAAAATGGACTGCAAATAAACCATTTCACATGTCAGTAGAAGTAGTTATGACCATATTTGCGAAGCAGAACCTGTTATTTAGTCCTTTAGCATTCAGGTCAAGGTATGTTTTACTTCTGCCACTGATTCAAACAGTTTAACAGAGACTCCGTTCACATTTATTTGACCGTTTCAGTCTTTGGTGTGTATGCAACTTAAGACATTTTGGATAACGTTTAATATTACGACACATTTACTTGGGTTTAAGGGACGTTTAGCATTCAAAACCCAAATGTATTTGCATATTGGATTGGTCTGTTGCTTATTTGAATACTGTAGTAAACTAAACTAGGCCAAAACTGTTCTCTTACTGACTTACAAGCACTAGTATGGAAATGCGAGTCTAGTTTGAGATGTTTGCTTTCTGTGTATCAGCCCGGAATGGGTCAGTTGATGTCTCCGAAATGAATGATTCTTTCTCACTGCAGCGCGTTCAGGCGGTGAGCCAGGTGTCACGGTTATGTCAAGTTTATGGCCGCAGGACTCATCAAAGAACGGAGACCCCAGTGGCATGAGAATGAACGGCGAAGGCACTGGTATAGGGGCTCCGACCCCAGCGGTGGCGGGGTATTTGGGAAAAGTCAGTTATGCTCAGTTCTCTCCCTCTGTCACTCGTGCAAAGCTACGCTCAAATTTAGTTCTATATTGTTTGGAAAATTGTATCGAATTGATCCCCCACCTCAAACAAGAAAAAAAACCACGGAAATCTGTGTGTAAAAGGCGAAGGAATACTCCTAAAAGCACTTAAGTTGTACACTAATTGTGTTATGGGTCTTGTATTTTCTGTTGTTGAGTGATCGTGATTTTTCACATGTTTTTTGTGTTTACAGTGTGAAGACAGAGATGCCACACTAGGGAACTGTCCTTGGTGCTTGTCAAAAGGTCAGAAAAATGCCCTCCGCTTTTATGCTGTCAACTTGGAGGAGAGTGTTATGCTCTGTACAAATCCAGTGGTGAGGATGTTTTTTCTTGCTTATCAGGAAATGCTGACACTTAAGTGAATAATTGAATGAATGAAAACCAGTCACTAATATATCTGGGTAATTTTACTCAAACTAAAAACTAGTAAAAAAAACTTTTTTTTTTGTATTGCATAAAGTATGGCCTAGTTTTGGGCCCATGAATAATTTTTGCATTGTGAAATAGACAATAATTTGGAGGAAAAAAAACTAACTAAAAGAAAAAATGTATTTTCACAGCAAGGTAGTGTTTTTTTTTTTAAACCTATTTTCATTTATGCTGATATTAGTTTAGGAAAAAGAGATACAATAAAGTAATAAATCCAGTAAGAATTACTTTTGGAGATTGTGTGAATTACACACACACGCACTCAAAAAACACTAGTGTATAAAGAAATTAGGCTTTGTTTTGGTAAAAAGTAAAATAAATAAAATAGATTTTATATATATATATATATATATACATACACATATACACACACACACAGTATCTCACAGAAGTGAGTACACCCCTCACATTTTTGTAAATATTTAAATATTTCTTTTCATGTGACAACACTGAAGAAATGACACTTTGCTACAATGTAAAGTAGTGGGTGTACAGCTTTATATATATATATATATATATATATATAAAAACAGTAAGGCAGTGTCTTTTTGTACATTTTTATTTATGCTGATTTTAGTTTAGAAAGAAAAAGGTGGGATAAGGTAATGAGTATCTAATTAGAATCAACATTGAAAATCACATGAATCAAAAAATCTAAAGTAAAATGCCTGTGCACATTACAGTAAAAAAATTTGCTTCACAGTGAGAGATTTGAGGGGAAATGTTCTTAATTTATCATTAAAATAATATGACGGTTATATTAATGATCTTTTTTGGGAGGAAGTTGCAAATGTTTGCAAAAAATATAAATTTTCCTAAAATGAATTTATTTTCGTACTGCAAATTATAGTTCGTCCTTTAGATTTTGGGGTGAGATACAATCTGAACATATTTGTGAAATTCACTCAGTTGTTTTTTTTAAGCTTTTAATATTGGTAATATGATATTTCTCATTGTATTAAATGCTTATGACTCATTTTAAAGAAAAGTGATTGGCCAGTAAGATGGTCATTAACATCTGCGGGGTGTTTTTCTGTGGCTTTGCAGTGCCTATACCCATTGGTTAGTAGATCTCTGGAAGATGTGCGTGCTAGCTTGTCTAAAGATGGATGCAAGAGGAGCATTTCTTCCCTGTCCGATGTGGATGAAGCATTCTCCCCTTCAAAGCGATGCAGAGAGGAGAAACTGGACGTTTTGTCTGCTGTGCCTGAGCCATGTGGTGCTGATGTCAGTGACGGCACCCTTCCAGATGACACTGTTAAAACACAAGTGTTTACAGATGAACAATCAATTCTTGGAAAGACTGACTCTATTAATGGCACTGAGGAACAACATCCTGAAGATCTACCTGCTGCCGCCACCCATGAAGATTTAGGTTTGTGTGACAAGAAGGATGATTGTGTATCTAGTACTCAAGATGAGGTTGAAGAGATCTTTGAAATGGATGTAGATGTGGAATCATCAGAGCTGGTTCCTGTGCAACCTCATCTCTTCTGGAAAAATGAGGACAACCTGTGTTGGTTGGATTCGTTGTTGGCGATGCTTGTGAACTGCAAGACCATCAGAGAGACTCCATGTCAGGATGTAAAGCTGATAGACAAGTTGACATCGGTGCCTTCCAGCAACTCTGCTGTCTGGAACCTTTGCTTCACATATGATAAGTCTTGTGCCAATCTGAAAGCCAAGGAGCAACAGTGTGAAGGCAAGAGAAAGCAAACCCTTCCAGGGCTCTAAATACATATATACACACACACACACCCATATATACTTTTTTTTTTTTTTTTGTTGGTGTTTATTTTATTATGTTCGTATTTTTTATTAAAGTACAAACACACACACACTTTAGATTAATTGTAAGTTGTTTATTATTATTAATATCCATAGACATAATAACACTTACAAAATTAAATTTAAAATGTAAAAACAAAATGAAACATTTAATTTTAAATGGATAATGTATTCTTTAGAATGTTATAAAAGTAATTTATAACAGTCTAATGTATTCATATTTAATACACTATCATTTTAAATGATAAATTATAGTTTGTTAACATTAATTTTCACTTAAATGTAACCTTTTTTTTTTTTAAATTACAAATTTATGTTTAATATAAATTTACATATGTTTTAAGTGAACATTTATAAGTGGATTCAATCATTTATAAGTTACTTGTAAATATGTATTCATATGTGAACACTAATTTTATAAATTAAAATATTTATTATTCTATTTGATGTTTATTTGTAAGTTATTTTTAACGTAAAAATATTTATGTATTTGTATATATTAACCAACTAACTTTATAGTTATATTCTATTATAAGTTAATAAAATATTTATTTTTCTTTATAATATAGTATAAAAAGTAAGTTATTTAAATTTATTGCATAACTCAAATTTCAATTATTAACAATTATGTATGTATTAATACACTATAATTTAAACAATTTTTTTAACCTCACCTCAAAAATATAAGGAGGTTTGCATTCACATGCTGGAAAGTTGAACCCGTTTTTTCCCTCTCGGTAGATGAGGTAACCAGAGTTCCTGCTGATGTCCTGTGTGAGGCAGAGCGGCAGATGTCTGCGCTCCGTCTGTCAATCTTCAAACTCCTTCAGCCTACACTGAAGTGTGAAATTGGTAAAATGGTTCAACAGCCAATCATAAAACGATCTGATATCCATTTGTTGCTGGTCATTTGTGTTGAGTGATAATCTTGTCTGTCTGTCGTACAGGTCAGCAGGAAACACCCGTGTTTGCCCTCCCTCTCCTTCTACGCTCAGACAAGTGGGCTCAAGAGCTTTTCCAGCATACTGTCCGTTGGGAATTTAAGTGCATGTCTTGTAGTTATACTCTAAATGACAGGTAAAGGTTTCAAGCCTTGTAATTTTAAATCATTTGTATTTGGTAATTAAACAGCTTTTGATTTAGTAGATTTTTTTTGGTAACACAACCCTCCTTTTGTCTTGCAGTGTTGAGAAGTCTCTTACAACGTTCACTCAGATTCTGAATGACTGGCACCCACTAAAAGCCATCCACCGCACTCAGTGCAGTAACTGCAACCGTAAAAACCAGAGGAGGAAAATGGTGCTTGAAAAGTAAGAGTTGAAATAACTCTAAATTTCCTTTTTTTATTTTTATTATCAACACCTTGTTTCATCACAATTTAACCTCTTGGTCTTTGTGGTTGGTTGATATTTGTCTTTGTTAATTTTTGCAGGCTGTCCTCGGTGTTTGCACTGCACTTTGTGGAGGGCTTGCCCAGGAAAGACCTCTCTAAATACTCGTTCGAGTTCCAGGGCGCACACTACAATGTTAGCACCGTTATCCAGTACAATAAGCGTCTAAAGCACTTTGCCACTTGGATCCGCCAGAGCAATGGTGAGTCTTTTATTCTGTGAGTTTGTTAGCTGATCTACTTGCACTATTCAATTCAAAAGTCTAGAGTCTTTTTCCTTACTTTTATTCAGCAAGGACACATTGTCTCAAAGACACTTATAATGTTAGAAAAGATTTCTATTTCAATTAAAGGGCACCTATTATGCCCCTTTTTACAAGATAGAATATAGGTCTCAGGTGTCCCCAAAATGTGTCTGTGAAGTTTCAGCTAAAAATACCCCACTGATCATTTATTATATCATTTTGAAAAAGTTTGAGTGGAAGCAGAAATGCACTGTTTTCGTGCATGTATCTTTAAATGCAAATTAGCTGCTGCTCCCGGCCCCCTTTTCCAGAATAGGGCTGTGCATTTACAGCTCATAACTCGAATACTCTGCCCAAAACTTTTTTTTATTTGGTTTTGATTGTTTATCGTGCTGAAATCATGCGTTTTAAAGCCATATCAGTTTAAACTTCTGATAGTGTTTTCTGAGCGCACACATCCGATGCACACTCAGAAAGTGGTTGTCACACGGCATGTGAGCACTAAACCAAGTTATCTTTCATGACTTATTGCACTTAAACTGTCAAATACACACAAGTTTGTTAAAAGCACACGTACGTTACAAGAACACAGTCGGTTATGTTTGTGAAGGTAAACAGCTGGGAAAGAAAATCGCATGTTTATAGTAGATCGGTGTATGAAGTGACGGCAGGGCAGTGGGTGGAAACGTGCCGATTAAGGGAGTGAAATTTGAGCGGCTCATTTTTTTCACATTGTTCTAGAAAAAAAGCTTACCCGGGGACCCGGTTATAGCACTTAAACACGAAAAAAAAAACAGATTATGGCTGGGAAAGAAAATCGCATGTTTATAGTAGATCGGTGTATGAAGTGACGGCAGGGCAGTGGGTGGAAACGTGCCGATTAAGGGAGTGAAATTTGAGCGGCTCATTTTTTTCACATTGTTCTAGAAAAAAGCTTACCCGGGGACCCGGTTATAGCACTTAAACACGAAAAAAAAAACAGATTATGATATATCCCCTTTAAAATTTTTATCTAAGTTTTCACTAAAATATTAAACAGCAAAACTGTTTTCAACATTGATAAGAGGAGAAATGTTTCTTGAGCACCAAATCAGCTTATTAGAATGATTTCTGAAGGATCATGTGACACTGAAGACTGGAGGAATGGCTGCTAAAAATTCAGCTTCGCCATCACAGGAATAAATTACATTTTAAAATATTGATTGATTTGTAAAATGTATTTATATTTAAATTATATATATATATATATATATATATATATATATATATATATCTCAGGGATGTTGTGTAATTGAATATATTATAACAAATAGCTTAGAAATTGTATTATTTATCAAATAATTTAAAAACGGCATTGTGCAGTTTACATGTTTGCATACAATTATTATTATTTATTTTTTTTTTAAAGTTGAGTGTTGATCATCTATTTAAAAAGAAATAGTAATTAAATTTAAGTTTGGGTTAAGTTGTTAGGCCTATAATAAAAAAAAAAAAAAAAAAGATATATAAGTACGTACGTAAGTGTTAGGCGATATGGTCATTTTTCAAATCGTCATATCGCCAGTCCATGAGATCGCGGATAGACGATATTATCGTGCATGGGTGGGTGGGGGCAAGAGAGAGACTCTTTGTACTTGTCATAGGCCATTTCATAACTATTTGGTGTTTTAACCCGCACACGCGTGAGAGAGGGAGCCTATGGAAGCACCACGAATCTAAATAATATACTTTCAAAAATACTGATAAACTAACATGTTAAATACAAAAATATTTAAAACCGCTAGTTCATTTATATTCGGATACAACAGTCATATATCGCTATTAGGACCGCGCGTCCTGTGACAAGTTTTCCTGCATCGACGCATGGAAGTTATCAGTCTGGTCTGCAAAATCAGTCAACTGTGAAAATCAAAAGTAGATTTATTTTAAAGACCAACAGTTTAACACTAAGTATTGGACATAAACAAACACATTAAATATAAAGTATTTAAAACGGTTAAGTAAATATTTGGAGTAAATTTTAATTAAATAGATACATCAGTCATACAGCACTCCGGACCGCGCGCCCAATGATGAGCCCGACGCACCACCACAGAAGCAAGAATGAGATGCGTTCTAACACAACTGTGGCATTAAACTCAGTTAGTGAGGGCTCAGTTAAAATATTGCACATATATAGGCCGTTCAGATTACTTGTTAAAGTGCAATGAAATACCTTATATCAGCAGACGATGGGTGTCTGTGTTTGTTGTTGGAAACTCTTTCACCGGCTACAGGATCCTCATTTACGCGCATGTGTGTGTGTGTGTGAGAAACAGTGCTGAATGAAAAAACGGGGCAATTTGATAATAATAGCCGAATTATAATGGGATGCCTAATAATAATAATAAATTATTATTATTATTAATAGGAGAATGAGCCTAATAACGTCTTGACTATCGACGAAGACATCTGTTATCGTCAATATCTCTGACTATCGTCGATACACGATGCTATAGTCTATCGGCACAACCCTAATTATATATATTTTTTTTTAAATTTAAATATGCATAATTTAATTAGTAAAATTTTTTTTTTTGATCAAATAAATGCAGTTCTAGTGAATTCTTCTAGAGAATTCTTTCAGAAACATAAGTTTTACTTAACCCAAGCTTTTGAATGGTAGTGTATATAGTTGTTCTTCTGAATCCCATTAGCCAATTAATAATTTTAATGTTGCTAAAAAACATTTTTTCCGCTTAAACGTTACACTTCCGCATTGTTTTACTTGCATGTTACCAAAAATAAGCAAAAATACCACAAATTATCGGCTAAAATGATCAACTGTTATTAAATAGATTTACAGCTAAATTTGCTAATCATCTCCAAATACTTGCTCTGTAAAATGTTATTATTCAAATTTATACTTAATAGTGGTTCATTTACATGTTTGTGTTCTGTCTTTTAGGGTCATGGCTGGAATTCGATGATTTGAAATACCCTCACAGCATCACCCACAAGAGGTTTTCATTTCCTGCCAAAGAAATTCACATTGTTTTCTGGGAATCAGACTCCACTAAAGATGAAGTTTCAGAAGTTTGCTCACCGACAGCTCCCTCGGCTCTCACGAATGTCGATGATAAGCACCTGCGCGAACTGTCAGACTCTGTGGCCAATGACACGTGCGTCATCAGCGCGCTTACCTTGGGAGACTCTATTACTGCCGGCGCTCTGGATGCATCCATCGGCAGCACCACTTTACTGGACACCTTTGAGGGTCTGTCACATACAGACATTGTGACCCTCACTCTGGTTGATGAGAACAAAGCCACTGAGGCTCTTCAGATTCCCCAGAGCCCAGCCGTCGTCCCGGCCGCTCTCCCCAGTCTTCCTGTCGCATCTAGTTCATCTTATATCTCCAAGTCCGTTTGTCAACCTTCAAACGCTCCAAAACCCCAAAGTTCTGGTTTGAAGGAAGGATCTTCGGTTTCCAATCCAGTTGTGCTGAGACCGTCAGTGGCTACACACGTACATGCACCGTCACCGCTTGCGTCCTCATTACTTCAACGCCATCCTTCCTTCCAGTCGACACCAATAAGACGTCCTCCTCCTGCTCCAAAACCCATTCTGAAATGTGACAACGAAGCTCTGCCAGTGTGTGTGTGTGTGAGAAACCGTGCTGAATGAAAAAACGGGGCAATTTGATAATAATAGCCGAATTATAATGGAACGCCTAATAATAATAATAATAAATTATTATTATTATTAATAGGAGAATGAGCCTAATAACGTCTTGACTATCGACGAAGACATCTGTTATCGTCAATATCTCTGACTATCGTCGATACACGATGCTATAGTCTATCGGCACAACCCTAATTATATATATTTTTTTTTAAATTTAAATATGCATAATTAATTTTTTGGTCAAATAAATGCAGTTCTAGTGAATTCTTCTAGAGAATTCTTTCAGAAACATAAGTTTTACTTAACCCAAGCTTTTGAATGGTAGTGTATATAGTTGTTCTTCTGAATCCCATTAGCCAATTAATAATTTTAATGTTGCTAAAAAACATTTTTTCCGCTTAAACATTACACTTCCGCATTGTTTTACTTGCATGTTACCAAAAATAAGCAAAAATACCACAAATTATCGGCTAAAATGATCAACTGTTATTAAATAGATTTACAGCTAAATTTGCTAATCATCTCCAAATACTTGCTCTGTAAAATGTTATTATTCAAATTTATACTTAATAGTGGTTCATTTACATGTTTGTGTTCTGTCTTTTAGGGTCATGGCTGGAATTCGATGATTTGAAATACCCTCACAGCATCACCCACAAGAGGTTTTCATTTCCTGCCAAAGAAATTCACATTGTTTTCTGGGAATCAGACTCCACTAAAGATGAAGTTTCAGAAGTTTGCTCACCGACAGCTCCCTCGGCTCTCACGAATGTCGATGATAAGCACCTGCGCGAACTGTCAGACTCTGTGGCCAATGACACGTGCGTCATCAGCGCGCTTACCTTGGGAGACTCTATTACTGCCGGCGCTCTGGATGCATCCATCGGCAGCACCACTTTACTGGACACCTTTGAGGGTCTGTCACATACAGACATTGTGACCCTCACTCTGGTTGATGAGAACAAAGCCACTGAGGCTCTTCAGATTCCCCAGAGCCCAGCCGTCGTCCCGGCCGCTCTCCCCAGTCTTCCTGTCGCATCTAGTTCATCTTATATCTCCAAGTCCGTTTGTCAACCTTCAAACGCTCCAAAACCCCAAAGTTCTGGTTTGAAGGAAGGATCTTCGGTTTCCAATCCAGTTGTGCTGAGACCGTCAGTGGCTACACACGTACATGCACCGTCACCGCTTGCGTCCTCATTACTTCAACGCCATCCTTCCTTCCAGTCGACACCAATAAGACGTCCTCCTCCTGCTCCAAAACCCATTCTGAAATGTGACAACGAAGCTCTGCCAGCAAAGCCAGCTGACATGTTTGGTGGCTTCATAAGCATGAAATTGCCAAATTCAAGTGGCGTGAATCCTGCTGTAGTGCCTCAACACAAACCAATCACCCTTCCATCGGTTAAGAAAAATCCAAGCCTTTTGGCAGACCAGCAGCCTATTACCACTACAGAATCCCTCAGACTGAAGCTACTGAAAAAGCTCAAGGCTAAGAAAAAGAAACTGGCCAAATTAAACCAGCTTTTGGGAAGTGCAGGAGAATCTGCACCGAAACCGGATAGCACGGCTCTCTCGTCGCCCTACTCTGTCACCTCTAGTACGTCGGCGTACGACAGTCCAGCGTATGACCAGTTCTTCGCTGAGCTTTTGTCTCCTGCAACGACCGTCAGTAACCTCTCACCTGACAGCACGGGGCTCCTAGAGATGTTGAACAACGGCCAGAATGTGGAAATGACCGTTGGAAGCGCACAGCAAAATCCTTGTGTAGCAACTGTGGTTCCAGAAACAACTTTAACCTACCCTTCCTCTCCTAATGACTCTGTATTGAATCTTGATGAATACATACAATCAGGGATGGACCAGACTGCAATTGAGAACACCGATTTTAATGGCTTAGATATATTTTTCTGATCATGAATAGCTTTTAGATTTTACAAAATTAAAGTTTGGTCTGATGTCAAAAGTTGTTCTTAAGAACTCTTCTTTGTAGTTTCATATTGGGAATGCAAGACTTTTGTTAGGAAAGCCTGTGGTACATCATCAGTTAAATGAATCCAGAGTTCATATTTTGTCTGATATACTTGAATATTAAAGGGTGCAGAGTATGCGATGTTTGAAGAGCAGAGTATGCACAATGCATTTAAGGTTTGTACAGCATTGTTCAGTTGTTTAATAATTGTTTTTGTGGTCTTTTTTTTATGGTTATCCCTGCATTTAAAGCAGTTCATATTAAATGGTCCCAAAAATTGAATATGTTGTGGTTACTGGCATTTAATTTTGCCTGTGAGTGAAGAGTAAAACGCTTCACTTTCAAACTGATTATATATGTGGTTCCTACACTTTTTGTTGGATAGGAATGTTTTAAAAACAGTCATTTCTAACCAATAAAATATTTTAAAGCACTTGCACTTGATTATGAATTATAAGAGTATGAAAGTCTAATGCTTACCAAAGCTGCATATATTTGATAAAATACATTAAAATGATTTGAATTGCATTTATTTGAAATAGTCTTTTAACATGTCTTTACTATCAGTTTTGATCAAATTAATGAAAAAAAAAAAATACTGATTCAAACTTTTGAACAGTAGTGTAATTGGACATGTATTTATCAGCAATTACATAAGCATTTCCATTCATTTTTATTGTAAACATTTCTCCAGGTTTTCCATGACACGTAAAATCTATACACTGTAAACAACTGTGTGCTATCATTTTGCACTTTCAATTTCATAAATTTCATGATCCCATTATAAGGGAGTAATAAGTGTTCATATTTTAACAAGGTCTGCTTTTTGCTTATAGTGGAGCACTTGAGACAAAATATTAATATAGGTGGACCCAGAACATATACATTGCCTTAATTAAAAATAATAATCATTATGATCAATATTCAAGTAACCATGTCAGTCCATTTTTAACTGGGTATGGAAAATGTGAATGAAAAAAAAATTCAGTGAAAAGTTTCACTTTGTTCAGTTTTTGGTCTACTTAAAAAGGTCTTGAGTTTGGTTATATTAAGAGTGTGAAAACAAGTGGTGGCCAAAAAAAGTATTTAGACCCTTAAAGCTTAAATAAAAATATATGCATGTATTATCTTTATAACAAAGCATCAAAACAAATGGCATTCGTTTTAAAGAGATATATTGTTAAAAATAAGACAAATGTCTTGGCTACTTTCTGGTTGTCAAACTGCAGAATATGTTTATTATTAAGATGAGGAACAACACTGATGGTTATGTTGTTGGGACATCTGTAAATTTGAGGAAACTTAGCTCATAGTTCCACACACAAAGACCATTTAAAGCAGTTCATATTAAATGGTCCCAAAAATTGAATATGTTGTGGTTACTGGCATTTAATTTTGCCTGTGAGTGAAGAGTAAAACGCTTCACTTTCAAACTGATTATATATGTGGTTCCTACACTTTTTGTTGGATAGGAATGTTTTAAAAACAGTCATTTCTAACCAATAAAATATTTTAAAGCACTTGCACTTGATTATGAATTATAAGAGTATGAAAGTCTAATGCTTACCAAAGCTGCATATATTTGATAAAATACATTAAAATGATTTGAATTGCATTTATTTGAAATAGTCTTTTAACATGTCTTTACTATCAGTTTTGATCAAATTAATGAAAAAAAAAAAATACTGATTCAAACTTTTGAACAGTAGTGTAATTGGACATGTATTTATCAGCAATTACATAAGCATTTCCATTCATTTTTATTGTAAACATTTCTCCAGGTTTTCCATGACACGTAAAATCTATACACTGTAAACAACTGTGTGCTATCATTTTGCACTTTCAATTTCATAAATTTCATGATCCCATTATAAGGGAGTAATAAGTGTTCCTATTTTAACAAGGTCTGCTTTTTGCTTATAGTGGAGCACTTGAGACAAAATATTAATATAGGTGGACCCAGAACATATACATTGCCTTAATTAAAAATAATAATAATCATTATGATCAATATTCAAGTAACCATGTCAGTCCATTTTTAACTGGGTATGGAAAATGTGAATGAAAAAAAAATTCAGTGAAAAGTTTCACTTTGTTCAGTTTTTGGTCTACTTAAAAAGGTCTTGAGTTTGGTTATATTAAGAGTGTGAAAACAAGTGGTGGCCAAAAAAAGTATTTAGACCCTTAAAGCTTAAATAAAAATATATGCATGTATTATCTTTATAACAAAGCATCAAAACAAATGGCATTCGTTTTAAAGAGATATATTGTTAAAAATAAGACAAATGTCTTGGCTACTTTCTGGTTGTCAAACTGCAGAATATGTTTATTATTAAGATGAGGAACAACACTGATGGTTATGTTGTTGGGACATCTGTAAATTTGAGGAAACTTAGCTCATAGTTCCACACACAAAGACGGAGCAGCTGGTTAAAAATAACTAAAAAGTATCTCAAAGTTAAATTGCGGTTTTTTTATCTAACGCAATAAAATTGACATTTTAAAGTGTGACAAATACTTTGTGGGGCCACTGTAGTTAAGACTCAACTTACTGTCTGCTAATTGATTTAGCATATGATATATTGACAGCTGAAATATCACAGGTGAAGTTCAGTTGTCTTGCTCTGTCAGTTATAGCAGTCATTTTGACCAACATAAATGTAAAGTTTCAAAACCAAAACAGCGCAGCACCAATATCTCAAATAATTACTTTAATGACAAGAGCAGCTGGTTAAAAATAACTAAAAAGTATCTCAAAGTTAAATTGCGGGTTTTTTTATCTAACGCAATAAAATTGACATTTTAAAGTGTGACAAATACTTTGTGGGGCCACTGTAGTTAAGACTCAACTTACTGTCTGCTAATTGATTTAGCATATGATATATTGACAGCTGAAATATCACAGGTGAAGTTCAGTTGTCTTGCTCTGTCAGTTATAGCAGTCATTTTGACCAACATAAATGTAAAGTTTCAAAACCAAAACAGCGCAGCACCAATATCTCAAATAATTACTTTAATGACAAGTTATATACAATAACCAAATTCACCAGGCTTGTTTAACTACATGAAATGTACTCTTTATATTTAGTGTTTAAATATAAAAGTGACAATACTATTTGGTCTGCTGGCTGGTTTAGAGTAGACGTCTTCAGTCCTGGATGAAAATGCACATCTTAGTTCTCCTATTTGACAAGCATTTCTTGAGATGTAGACACTGCTAATGAGCTGATGAGTTGATTCAGGTGAGTCAGATTAAAGAGACACCCAAAATATGCAGTGTTTGATGACATCCACAACCCGTATATATAGAGTGGAAGACCAGCTGAAACCAGCTAAGACCAGCAAAACGGTTTCAGCCAGCAGAGGGCAGTCTTTCACTGCGAGACCGTCGGGTTCAACTTCACATTCAGATGGTTAAACTTTAGTTTATCCTAAAATACCAACTGATAGGATGAGCTGTGCAACAGAAAAGGCAGCTATATCAGGAACAGGGTTTCCACACGCACATATTTTCTTTCAAAAAGTACAAAATGTGCCATTTCATCATGAAGCAGAAGTGACCCTCCCATAAGGAAACGCATCAGTTCAGCGGTGATGTTATCTGTGATGCTAAAATGATCAGACAGCAGTCTGAGACAGACCGGCAGTTCATACTAGAGAACATGTTTGTTGCCGTGATGGACAACATTTTCTTACTGGTGCTGGTCACACTTCTCAGCGTCGTTCAGAATGGTATGACATTTAGATTTTATTATTATTATTTAGGATACTTGAATGATGTTTAGGCAGAAGGTGTATGCAAATTATCGTTGAACACACTGCTGTGTTTATACAACTAAGTTACCAGGAATTAGTCTATAATGTAGCCTAAATATACATGGAAATGCATTCAAACTTACCATACATGTCCAATCTTTAATACATCCTTCTCCTCTAGTGTTCTTCGCCTTAAAGGTTGAGAAGGAATGCACCGGTCAACATTCTAAACCGCATTCTGCAGCTTTTGAGCGTTTGTCTTGTGCAAAGTGAGTAACATATTGATTCAAGTTTCAAATTAACCATTTTAAAAGAGCTTTTTATATATATATAGATAAATAATTCGTTTATGAAATCGTGTTGGTGTAGATTCTTTTGCATAACAGTTCGAAATTTTCCTGGAAACTAATTTCCTGATTTATTTACATAATGTTAATGTTGCACTGGTCTGCGCATATTGAAAGCCTATATCTGTACATTTAATTGTTCACTTATTTAAAGTTTCTTGGAAGTCTACAATAAAGCAAATGGGCTAATGTATGAATGTGGATTATTATATTCTATATATATATATATATATATATGTATGTATGTGTGTGTGTGTGTATATATATATATATATATGTGTGTGTATAGAATATAATATGCCAAATAAACCAAACTAACAGGATTATTATCAGTTGCATATCTAGACTGTTGGATTCTGGTTTGCTAGTTTATCTTGGTTTAGATGCAATCATAAAAGTGTCATTAACCACCACCAGAGAGGAAGTATCTGCTCTTTCACAATATTTCGAAAAGCTACATGGAAGTTCAACAAGAAGAACTGACAGCTTTACATCAGTTTGGTCAAATGAAATTCAAGAGTTGGTTAGCTGATAAGAGTTAGTTTCTGAAACTGTATAAAAAGTTATGAATTAATAAAATGATCTGCTTCATAATGATTTATGTATTTACTGTTTTCTCACTATCTCAGTCGAAACTGCATGGACACGTACCCCACATTTCTGGCAGTACTGTGGTGCGCTGGTATCTGCCTCAGCCAAGGTACAATTCAATTCATCAAAAATTAATTTTGATATATAAGTGAAAGTGCCTTTGTTATTTTCGGTGTTATTTTTAACTTTCACTACAATATAGTGATAGGATCAGACCAAAGAAAATACCCCTTTGTAATGTAGTAGAAATGGTTTGCATTTCCTGACTAGTAATTTCTTTTATGAACCATGTGCAAATATTTGTCTACATAACTTCAGCTCTATTTTTGAATACCACTGAAATGGTAATTTAGTTGCTAAGGAACCGACGCATATACAATAAGAGTCAGCCCTAATAAAATCCCCCTACGTGAGAAAATTACCTGTACAATAA